GGGCTTGCTCTACCTGACTTTAGCACGTATTATATGGCCACAGTAGTCAAAACAGTGTGGTACTGGTATAACAACAGATGTTCAGACCAATGGAAAAGAGCTGACGACCCCGAAATAAAAACATCAGCATACAGTCAACTGATCTTTGATAACTGACCAAAAAATATCAAATGGGAAGGAGATGCCCTCTTCAATAAATGGTGCTGGAAAAAATGGATATCTACCTGCAGAAAAATGAAGCAAGACCCTTACTTTACTCCATGCACAAGAATAAACTCAAGGTGGATCACAGACCTTGAGGTAAAACCCCGAACAATTAGGGCCATTAATGAGGGAATTGGGGAAAATCTGAGAACCATGGCACAGGGAATGCATAGGCTATTGGAAATAGGGAAGGATGAAAATACAGAGGAGGCACAAATTGACAAGTGGGATATACTGAAGATAAGTCACCTGTATACATCGAAAGAATTCACCAAGAGAGCCCACTGACTGGGAAAACATCTTTAGCATTCACATATCAGACAAAGGCCTTATTACTAAAATCAACAATACTTTGCAAGCTTACAATAAGAGAAAAACTAACTTCCCACTGAGGAGGTGGGCAAAGGACTTGAACAGAAGTTTTACAGTCTGAAATCCGAATGACCAATAAAAAACGTTATGAAAAAACGTTCCTGATTACTAGCCATAAGAGAAATGCAAATTAAAATAACTATGAGATACCACCTAACACCCTCAAAGACAGCCCAATTCCAAAAATCAGAAAGCAACAAGTGTTGGAGGGGCTGTGGTAACATAGGAAATCTCATCCACTGCCGGTGACCCTGTAGGTATGTACAGCCACTATGGAAATCGATTTAGTGATTTCTAAAACAGATGAGATTGAGCTACCATACGACCCAACAATCCCCCTACTGGGTGTATGCCCAGAAGAGGCAAGAAACAAACCACGGCCAGGCATCTGTGCTCCAATGTTCATCGCGGCACAGTTCACAATTGCAAGGAGATGGAAACAACCCA